CAAAAATGCGTCTTCCTGTCGCATTGATTAACTGGGACCAGGAAAAGGCATTTGATCGAGTTAATCATAAATATCTCTTCGAAGTCCTTAAAGTTTTTGGCTTTGGAAAGAACTATATCAGTTGGATTAATGGACTTTCAACTGATGATATACCATTTGAATCAGGTGTAAGACAAGGTTGTTCTTTGTCAGGAGGTATCTATGTGTTAGCGCTAGAACCTCTCTTACACCGTATTAGAATGAATCCTAAAATACCTGGACTCATGCCACCAGGTGGCCAATATAAAAGTCTATGTGATAAGATTCTATTGCCTAATGAAGATCCTATAATTAAAGCGATAGGATATGCTGACGATGTAACAACGGTTGCTTTTGAAATACAAGATGAACATGAAACATTACATATGTTTCACTTGTATAATCGTGCATCTGGTGGGAAAATAAATGTGGATAAAACAGAATTATTTTGGATAAGCAATTGGCTTGATCCACCACATTTTCAAGCACGTATAAATAGAGATTGGTGTATATTTCTTGGTGTACCATTAGATAATAATGATCGTATACCAGATAATGAACTAATAAAATTAGTTACATCAATCAAACAGTACATAGGCATGTGGTATAGTATGAATTTGTCGTTATGTGAACGTAGTACAGTTTTAAAAGTATTTGTATCAAGTAGAACGGTGTACACATTCTCACTAACAACATGTCCTAACCGGATTATTACCGAGTTACAAAAGATCTGTAATAAATTTTTGTGGTCTAGTCTAAGACGAACCATAAATATCAACACATTAGTTGGTAAACGAATTGATGGTGGACTAGCATTACCACATGTTAAAACGATGATAGAGTCCTACCGTATTTGTTTTGGACTTCGTTTACTATCGGGTGTTAGTGTTAAATGGAAGTTTTTTGCATTACAATCAATGGCTTTTAAATTAAGGATATATGATCCTAGTTTATGGTCTAATTTGATTCCTCATAATAATGTTGGCGATACTCTGTTCCATGAATCAGCTGAAGCAACACGAAAATGGTTAGCTAACGGTAAACCAATGGCGCTTCCGGTTCGCGGTAGAGATCCGAGTATATATTGGCATTTGATTTATGATAACTCATTTCAATTACCAATAAGTTATCTAAAGATGCCTGTGTTATTGACACATCGTTTTTATAAGTTTTTAATTAAGCTTAATTTACCAACAAGAGTTTTTGATGTTTGGTATCGTTTAGCTAATTATGGTCTGATAACAAGATCATTGTGGGGTAAGACTCCTATTGATAAAAGATGTGTATTTTGTAAAGCAGAGGAATCACGTACTCATTTATGGACTAAATGTCCTTTCTTCGAACCAGTGTGCGTCTCTCTCTTGAATTATGTTTGTACTACAGTTGGTGATATTAATGTTCAGCGTAATGAACAAACAATTATATATCTTCTAAACATCGATGGACGCTTAACTCCACCGCATCTGATGAACTTGGCACGACTCTTTGGAGTGTACATTCACGTCGTGTAGGCCTATAGAAATACAGTCATTTTTAAACACATAACTAAAGATATTTCTACTCCTTTATCTTGGTTAACAAAATCCATCACTCTATTGTATTTTGACAATCACGTTTGACCAGACTAGTCAGGCTATGTTTCTCTTTATACTATATCTTCAACTCATATGCGCTTGTCTATTTTAGAATCTGTCCAATTTTATTTTTTATTTTTTAACTTGCAATTCATTCGCTTATCCATTTCCGTATCTACAAAATGGTCACTTTCGTTTGTTACTTTGATGTTCAATTTAAAAACCTCTTATTTCTACAAATATATCATTCATCAAAATATGTCCTCTTCTATTTTTAATTTGTAATACCTTCATTTTTATTTTTAATTTGTGATACGTTCGTTTTAAGTTTAATTTTTAATATGTAATACCTTCGATTGCACTTCTACCTCTAATTTTTAAATTCTAATGCAATAATTAATGTGCTATGCAACGTGCAATCAATACCTTACCCGCTCCAGACAATTATTTTTTAGATTGTTTTCACTCCGTTACTGTTTCCGGATTTTATCTTGTTTTTATTATAATGTATTTTTAGTCATTTACTTTACAATAAACACCAAAGGCCTCGTGCCAAAACTCGCAGCCGCAGTGACGAAGAACACGCGAGTACTGAGAGATTACGATCTCTTGGTTTGCGCCAGAGCGGCATTTACTTTTCAACTTTCAAATGAAATTAGCTATGTTTGTTGACTAAACGTGTTTAACAATCTCGGAAAGTATACGAAAACAACCTAAAACTTTTTCCACGCAGTACTCTTCCCTATTCTACGAATACTGAAC